ACATGGTCTGGATAGCCCACAGACATACCATAAAATTTTCTAGGACCCATAATTGGTCTCCTTTAAATAGTATAAGGAACTGGCTTATAGATATGTAAGCTTTTCCCACATCTCTCTTAAACAAGGTTATGAGGAAATTATTTACCAAGGAATTTCTTATTCTTCATCAATATCTTGACTGTGCAAAGTGAAATCAGACAAACAATTCGTGGAAAACTCAGATGAGTTCAATTTTATCCATAAACAATATGCGATCGTGTATTTACATAAATTAAACAAATCATAAGTTAACAACTTAATTGTGGGTAATCAGCTTCCTATAACAAGTTACAGAATTAATACGATATAAATCTGCGTCTGAATTCAATCAATATCAACTCAAATTACTTATGATAGAACAGTAAAATGTCATTTCTGATGTTAAATAAACTAATTATTTACCGGCACATTAACATAGATTCTGGCAAGGCAAATAGTAACAACAAAAGGAGGAGAAAGTAAGGTTAGTGTTTCTACTGTTTTACTTTTTACCAAAATGTGAGTCAACCGGAACCACACTTCTTTTCTCAACCCAGCTTCCGTCGGACCCGATCACCATAAAACACTTCAGCCTCTTCACCTTCTGAATGACTTCTTGGACATCCTCTGAGTATCGAGAGCTGGCCCACCTCTGATCGGTCAGAAAAACTTTATCAGTCCGCTCACCTTTCATCGGTAAAACACGTGTTATTTCTCCAGTAACCTTGTAGGTCTGCCTCAGTCCTGGGAGAGAAAAATCAAGCTGGATCCGGTTTTCTCCTTCAAAATAAAATCACCTTCATGACTGAAGGGAAAAATAATTGCTTGGAGGTTTTGAACCCTCAAGGGGAATTTGACAGGCGTTGTTCAGGTCCTAGCTGTAAAGATCCACTCTTTGGCTCTTGAGTCAGATCTACAACTCATCGGCTGAAATCTCCCGAAGGAGAGAGACAGCATAACAAACAGGATAACCTCTTTTTAACTTCCTTCTGATGAGACTCTAAAATGAAATCACTGAAAAACATTTATGATGATTAACTGTAACATTTCTGTTCATTATCAACTCTAAACCATTTTGTTAGTTTAGATAAATGAAAGATTTTCTCAAGAAAAATCCACAATTATATTAATGTGTTCACAGTAAAATTAAAACAGTGATTTGCATAACAACACAATGAAAACATTGTAATTAGATTCTCTGTGATTTTTTTATACCATTATAAATCTTTAAGGCACGATAAGAGAAAATAAATTGTTCTACTTTTCATGTGACAGGCATTATCTTTGATTTAACAAATGCATAAACATTCTTAGTTAAATGACGAATCACGAACAAAGCAGATTGTTCTGTCCATTATCTTATTAAGAGAACGAGTGGTTCTCTTCCCTGGTTAGAATGACCTGTCTTTGGCCTAAATAAATTTCAGAGTGGAACAGAGTTCCTGTCTTCTTTACCAGGCCGAGGCCTGCTTAGATGCAGAAAATCTTGTTTCCTCACTCGAGGTGACCCGATGTAATGAGTCCAAATGGAGCCACTTCCACAGTGGAATGTTCAAGTTGTAAAACATGAGACCTGGATGCTTCATGTTAGCTCCTGGTGCTATTTCTGCTGGTTAATAACCAGAGATATTTCTGCTGGTTAACCACCAGAGATATCTCTGCTGGTGACCCCCCCCCCACCCCCTCACCATTGGATGAGCTGGACTTATCCAGCTCAACAAATGGGAGCCTCAAATTATCTATTTGGCCAATTTCATTGAAAGAAAACATGTTCTTTAATTTGCTGCAAGTGAGACCAAGGAAACCAATACAGAATTAAACTTGAATGTTAAATGTAAGAAATGGAGCCGTACACTATCACGATATCAGGAGAGTCAACGTGAGCAATGGCTTAGAGACAAACTGAGGCAGAGACTGAGATACAAAAAATATATGTTTTATTTTTAAGCAGGAGGACAGGACCAGGGGAGGGAGTGGGACAGGTGAGGGCTTTAGATGAAGCACAGAGGAGGGGATCAATTCCAAGGTGAATATTTACAGGTGAGTATTTATTTACAGGTTCGTTGGAGGCGAGACAGCAGCGCAAGGACAGGTGAGTGGCTCGAGGACAGGCAGGCTGAGTAACTGGGATCCAAGGATTTCCAAAGRGTTTCTTAAACCCAAAGTGGTTTGATGCTTCAGCGAAGAGTTGATCCTCAGGTCTTCCTTATAAAGCCAGTCACTGATGAGCCAGTTCCTTGCAGGTGAGTCCAATCAGCGTTGCCAGGGTAACAGGAGAGGCATGAGGTGAAATTCACCAAATGCCTCAGTACCTCCTCCTCAAAGATCGCCTCCAGGTGATTCACATCCTTTTTTCTGGATGTTCCATGTAGAAAGTTGTGATGAGCGTAGGATCCATTATAAAGGACCTAGGGATCCACGACCTCTCCTCGGGTCCATAGCCCTCCCAGTCCACGAGATATTGAAGACCGCGTCCTCGTCTGCGAACGTCCAAGATCTTCCTCACTGTATAGATGGGTTGATTGTCGATGAAACGGGTGGGAGGGGGGGATTGGCAGGAGGGCACAAAGAACTGGTGGAGACAGGCTTTAACTGGGAAACTTGGAAAGTGGGATGGATCTTCATGGTAGCAGGTAGGCGAAGTCTAACGGCAGATGGATTGATGATCTTTTCCACCGGGAAGGGACCAATGAACCTGGGTGAACGTTTTCTGGGAGTGTCTTTTAGATTAATGTCTCAAGTCAAAAGCCATACCTTTTGTCCCACTTGGTAGGATGGAGCTTCAACAAAAAACTGTTTCCTCAGGTCTGGGTGACAAAGAATGGGTGCTTGTGAAAAACGAGCCTTCAACTCACCAAACGCGCCGTTCGCCTCAGGGGTCCAGATGAATGGTCGTGTAGTTGAGGTCAGATGAGTGAGTGGTGCAGCAACCCTGCTGTAGTCCTTAATGAAACGTCTGTAAAAGTTAGCAAATCCCAAAAACCGTTGCAACTGTTTACGATCTTTAGGTAAAGGCCACTCTGTTACTGCTTTCACCTTTTCTGGATCGGTACAAAACTGTCCTCTCTCCAAAATGAAACCAAGAAATGAGACAGATGTTACATGAAACTCACATTTCTCTGCTTTGACGAACAGTTGGTTTTCATAAAGGCGTTGGAGGACAGCCTAAACGTGTTGTTCATGTTGATTAATGTCTTTGGAAAAAATTAGAATATCGTCCAGGTACACGAACACAAAATCGTTCAAAAAATCTCTGAGGACATCGTTTATTAAAGCTTGAAAAACGGCGGGGGCGTTTGTGAGACCAAAGGGCATCACCATATATTCAAAATGGCCGAGTGGAGTCTTGAATGCGGTTTTCCACTCATCACCCTCCTTAATGCGGACGAGGTGATAAGCGTTTCTGAGGTCTAATTTAGTGAAGATGGATGCAGAGTGTAACTGATCATGAACGGAGTCAATGAGAGGCAAGGGGTATTTATTTTTAACTGTTATTTGATTTAACCCTCTGTAGTCGATGCAGGGTCTCAAAGTCTTATCTTTTTTCTCCACAAAGAAAAAACCTGCTCCTAGAGGTGATGTGGAGGCTCTAATGATACCCGAGGCTAAGGATTCTTCGAAATACTCTTTCATTGACTCTCTTTCAGGGCCTGACATATTATAAAGACGGCTGGATGGTAATGGAGAACCAGGAATGAGTTCTATGGAGCAATCATAAGGTCTATGTGGAGGTAATGACATGGCTTTGTTTTTACTAAAAACTGGGGCAAGATCATGGTAGACTTTAGGGACTTTAGACAAATCAATCTCCTCAGTGAGTGATTCTTCCCCTTTAACGGAGGTAGGTACCGTGGACTTTAAACAGACGTTGAGACAATGTGAACTCCAACACTCAATTCTCTTTTCTCACCAGTTAAACACCGGGTTATGAGTACAGAGCCATGGAAAGCCAAAAATGAGTTGAGGAGTAGGAGAGTGAAAAAAAAAAAACTCACCCATTTCATGATGATTGCCAGAAATGATGATGTGAAGATTGTTGACTTTCTGCGTGACTTGGGATAATAATTGTCCAGTAACTCCAGTGATAGAGCGAGGTGGATCAAGTGGTGTAGTTGAGACACCTAACTGTTCAACTAAATCACTGGAGAT